TATATATATATTCTTTTTCTTTCTCTCCCACCCCAGTGAGGGAATTCTAGCCTCAAATTCGGACCTCAAATCCTATCCCTCCCACACATCCCCCGAAAAGCCTTATTCTCTTTTGTAGGCTTCAGATAATTTTTTTGTAAGTTATATTACGAAGAAGAATGGGGAGAGGAGAGAATGAGGAAAGTTTTGGGTTTGCAAACGCTGGTGGAATCAGAGGAGAGAAATCCGGGGACAAATGGGGACACTGATTTGTTCATTATACATCTCCTCCACTTTTTCGTAAGGCTGTGCCTTGTCTTGTGAAACTGGCAGCGGGCAACATCTTCCAGAGGACCCTAGTGTACTCCAGCAAGGGTGAGCGCTATCCGTGGGCAGTGCGGGAGAGACAGGCTCACGCTCACGCGCTGTTGCCAGAGCCAAAGGCGGGTCTCGAGTAAACCTGTCTCAACCTGAGCGTCAACGCCACTGCAGGATGGGGTCTTTGTTGGTTTTATCAGAAAGTATTTCCTATAAACTGCGGGAGAAGAGACCACAGAGGAGCATCTTGCTCTCAGTTGCTAGAGGGGTTCCTGTATCCCTCATCACCCCCAGGATCTTCAGCTGCTTAGAGCACAGACAACCCCTACTTTCTTTTCTGAAACAATATCAGCTGAGGCAGAGACTTGAAATTCTGGGTTCTTAGCGGCGGCACCGGGGAGGGGGACGCTTTCCTCTTCCACAGATCAGCAAATTCAGGCAGCGAGGAAATCCTAGAATGAGGTTTGGCCCAATCAATATTCCCCGAAGCTTTGTTCGTTTTCTTGCCTTCCTGCAGTTCTACCTAGAAACAGCCGTACACCCAGTGGTCAGAGAAACCGGACCTGGTTTGCCGGTAGCAGGCATTCATCCATCCGAAGCTTACCACACTCAAAGGCCGTGATTTCAACAGACTTAAGACCTCCCTTGGCCTGAACCTGCTTTCCCATACAGGCCTCTGGGCCCTCCCGCCCGCGAGGTGGAACAGGCGGCTGGGGAATTGTCTGGGGAGGATCATAGACCCGGAACTGTCAGTTTGGACTGAGAGGGGCCTGCTACACTCTACAAGGTCTCTGTGGTACTAATGGATCCGAATAATAAAATATTATAATCGGCAAACATCTTGAGGGATTTCGAACAGTTTAGGCAAGATTCGAAGAAGGTGGCAGCATGTTTGCCTTCAGTGGGTGCAGTGGAAAGGGAAGGGGGCTCTAATTCCTGGAAAACAGCCTGGGGGGGGGATCATTGCTCACAAGGTGTCCCACAGTACGCTCACGAATGTACATCCGCCGCTCATCCTCTCAAATCCTCTCACTGCCTTGGCGCTTGCACAAAAACCTACTTTAGAAAACAGTTTGGACCAGGACGGAGTATGTGAACAGCGGATTTGCTAGGCAAGGCTCTCTAGGGCAGAGACAGATGGCCTGGGCAGTAACTTCAAATCCAGCAAATGTGAACTCCTCAATCAACTCGAAGCAAGGGTGCTTCTGTCTCCACACAGATAAAAGTTGGAGGAAAACAACGTGCTTGGATCAGGGTTCTCTAGAATGGAAATGACTATGATGGAGTCATTGTCGCTCCTCCTCCGACGCTCCCCCTATCCCCACCCCTAGGCTCAGTAATGAAGAGGGGGAGGGGTGGCAGTCTGTGGGAGTGGGCTTCATCTCCTCATTGGGTGGGGGAGGGGTGTCAGACCTAAAGAATAGAGGAAAGTAATTTCTGAAAAATCTTTTGTGGGTCTTTTGCTGAAAACAAAAGAGCAATAGGAGGGGTACAATCCGGAGACTGTGACGCAGCCCACACCCCTTCTAACGTCTCTGCGTTATCTCCCCCAGGAGAGAAGCCCTTCAGATGTGAGTTCGAGGGCTGTGAGCGGCGTTTCGCCAACAGCAGCGACCGCAAGAAGCATTCGCATGTACACACAAGCGACAAGCCTTATATGTGCAAGGTGCGCGGGTGTGACAAGTGCTACACACACCCCAGCTCTCTGCGAAAGCACATGAAAGTTCATGGTCGCTCGCCGCCACCCAGCTCTGGTTACGACTCAGCAATACCGTGTGCCCTCACGTCTTCCTCGTTAGAAAGCGGCCACGAGCCCCCGGTAGCCTGCACAGCAGCGGTGGCGGTGCGTGGCACAGAGATGAACGAATGGTACGTGTGTTCGGGCTCCTTGCTCAGTGGAGGCTGACTCTGCAGCGCCCCCACCGCAGCCTAATGCCACCTCTGGGCCCTGTCACAGCTACCACCACCTCCAGTAACAGGGCTGCTTCCCAGCGTGCTGCTCTGGCTTATGTCGACTTCGAGTCTAGGCCTGGCCACTGAGGCTTCAAGGAGTAGGCAAGGAACGAAGGGAGCGAGGGTGAAAAGGCAGGTAGGCAGGCAGACCGCTACTAAAAGTTACTGGAGGCCATTGAGTATGCTGATACTAGATCTATAAACAAAAACATAAATGTAGTCATTCTACAGTTACATCCTGCACTCTCTTTTGCCTATGAAACCCATGTCCGGGATAAAGAGACAGATAACAACAACAACAACAACAACAACAACAACAACAACAAAACTTGTTAGAATTTATTCACAGTTCTGGCAACTGCAGGTGGCAAAAGTAAAGCCATAAATTTTCCCAGTGGGTGTGGAAGGGTGGAAAATATTTTCCTTGAGGCCTGGACCACTGCCTTCCCGGCACCCAGTTAGAGACTCTTTTTCCTCCCCCCCCCTTGCCCATCAATCCCAACCAGAGTAGTTCAGAGCCCAGGAGGTGGCAGACAGAATCCCACAACCATTTTCCTGCAGCCCATTTATCTTTTGCTTTGCCTCCATATCCTCTCCAGTTCCTCAGCTAATCTCAAACACCAGCAAAAACAAAATAAGCACATAACAACAACAAAGAAACACAGAAGTCCTGAATTTTCCAGCCACTTCTGTAAGGGAGATGAGTAAGGGGATGTTCTCCCCTCCTCTTGGGATGCCACATACCTCCAATCCCAATGCCTATGAGAGCACATAGATAAGTCTGTTCTGTCAGACCTCAAACTCGATTTACATTTTATACTTGCAGTGGGGAGTGAGCCAAAACAATAGGAAGCAGGGACAAAGGAACACTAGAAGGCTTTCAAGAACTCTGGGTTGTGAAGCTTCCAGGCTTCCTTTTCCCACCCCCATCTGTTTAGGCATGGCTATGGAACATCATAGGTGCTCTACTTGGGATGCGGAGCTGGAGGATGTCATCACCAAATCAAGATCTCCACAGCCAGGGATGTATATGCCTTAAAGAACAGCCTCGATTCTCTAATAGCATTTGTCCGAAATGTATTTTAAAAAGTTTGTGGGCATGTGAAATAAAGTACAACATTATTATATAGCAAACACCCAGTGGGTATGAAGAGTTGAAAGTATTTGATGTGCTGGTTATGAAGTTCTCAGGAAAAAAATTCAGATATTGATGGAGGCAGAGAGTAAGGCCTCTGCAGATGTCAAGGGGGAGAAACACTCCTGCCACCCTCTGTAGGGAAGGAGAAGGTGCTTCAAAATCCCAGCTGAGATATAAATAAAGAAAAACGCCAAGGAAAGAGAAAGGTGGCAAAAGGAGAGAGGGGAAGTACAGGCAGACTTGTCTAGGTTTCTACAAATCTGAAATAAATATGTAAGAGGGGGAAAGCATTTCTCCCAGAATGAAGGCCCAGGAATTCGATTTTACAACCTGAGCCCTGAGGCTGGGGGTGTAACTCTGTGGTAGAGACTTGCCCTCTTCCCTTGAAGCTCTTGGATTATCCCCAGTGCCACTAAAAATAGGCACATTGGATACAATAAAAGCTGGACAAACAATTCTTAGCAGAAAATCCCGCTGCATGGTCTTCTATCCCTCCCTTCTCAGAATCTAGTAGAAAATTCTCACTCTGGTCCCACAGACCCCACAACTTTTATCCAATAAGGCAACCACGTTGGCTGGAAGGGGGTGGTTACCCCCAATAAAACCCCAAATCTTAAAAATCCATCTCTAGCGAACCTGTTGTTGAGTCACAGCCTAACCTAGACGCAGCCTGGGACAGTTAGAAGCAAAGGGCTTGTTCCCATGGGCAAGCACTAACCTCGCTGCCAAGGTACACAGAACGTTAGAGGCATTTGACGCCTCTGCTAATATTTCAAGCCTCCCCTCCACGAACTGGACTCCTGTGTTTCTCTTCTGTTTCAAAACACTTCGTTTTGCCTTCCACCCCAGTCCAAAATAACGAAATGAAATAAAAAATATTTGACTGATCACTAATCGCCTTTAATTTTTCATTTGCTTGTTACAGATGTTGCTTGCAAGGTAATCTTGCCCTGCGCAGCTGAGCGCCGGCATCTTGCGCCTGCGACATCAAAGGGCTCTCTCACAAAGCAGTGTTTCTTCGCCACGGTGCATCTTCATGGTAAGTTAGGATTTCTATGGCAATGGGCAAGTCTCACTGAAATCCTGAAAGGCCGAGCCTGGAGCCCGTCCAGGCTTTTCATTAAGGACATAATATTTACGTCTAACAGGCCTTTTTTCTTGTGTATACAAGTATATATTTTTGTTTGACGCGGACTAAATCATTTTCATTTAATTTCCGGTAAACAAAACCCACGCGAATGGGCACTTGTTCCCGATCATAATAAAAATGGATAATAATGCGAGGGAAGAAAAGGGCCGCTTGAATCGCCGCTCAGCCCTCTTTGTTTCTGCTTTCTGCGGTGATCAGAGGGCGTATTTGGGTTTGATGGCGAGTTTCTAAAGGCGAGGAAATGGTTTGTAAGGGGGAAAAGAAAAGGAGAAAGGTCCAATCAAGCTCGGGTTGTTCAAAGAGTCGGGTTTTGGGGTTGAAAGTGTGAGTTTGACGGTGCATCAGCACGCCGCGTTAGGCTCGCCATGGAAATGCGCGCGGGGAGCGGCCGCTTCAAAGGCGGCACACTTCACTGCGGACACTCTATTAAGATACATTTGCGTTGACCTTTGCTTTCACGCCATTTAATACTGTCACTGTGCTCTCCAGTATACACTTCCTCCCAGGACCTGTCTTGCCAGTGTTTAGGGGTTCACCCTGTACCCTGATGTAGGGGGCTTTGCTATCCGGGATTCTTTCAAGAAAAGGGAGGAGGAGCCGAACTTCGAGCATCTTGACAACGCCCATAGGCCCCCAGAGTCAGAGGAAGTCTAGGGAATCCTGAGAAGCTTACCAAAGGATCACCCCAGCTCTGTTGTCAGCAACACAGAGCTGAATGGGGAGTTAAGACGAAGGTGACCAACCTGGGGAAGTATAGGAGCTGTTAACTGCACTTCAGGGACAGTTAGTTCCACTGTGCTCCCCAGAGGTGTCCCACTGCTTCCTCACCCTAGAAGTCTTGCAGCCCCTTAAAACTTTTCCTCTGATGTGCCACTGTGCGGTAGCCTTAGGTTTGGGCTGGCTTTGGGCACAAACTGAAAAGCCCAAGGCCAAGTGGATGGAGAAGACGGCAGCAAAGTTGGAAGTCCATGTTCCCTTAATTGTCTTGTTGTTTATTTTATCCAAGTACCCTAGTGAATAGGGGAAAAATAAACACGGTGGAAAAAAAAATCAAACAGTAGAGTCTTCTTTAGTGCCCGTCCTTGTGGTTGAATAAAAAGGATGGTCTGCCTTCTATTGAGCTGAGAAATCTTTGAAGTGGGAGTTACTATCGGAGACATTCCTGCTTGTCGTCCTAACAACGCTGATGAAATGTAAAAGGTTCTTTGTCAGCGATTTGTTCTCCTCTCTGTCAAACTCACTTTGCCCCATTGGTTTCAAACCATTGCTAAAGAGATAAAATCAAATTTCTTAAAAGAAAAAAATCCTTATACTCCACCAGTAGATAACTTTAGGGATAAGTTTTTCTAAGAGAGAGTGGGGGAAAAAAGCGACAACGACAAACAAAAGCCCTGTGTAGTTTGAGTCCTGGTGATGTGTGTAGATGTTGGAAGGCCATTTGCAGCAAAACTGGTACATCAGGTCATTCGAGGATGGTAGAGGCAGAGGATAAGTGTCCCAAGTCTATGCTTCTGTGTTTGTGTTTTCTGTCCTGGCCTGCATACCATCAGCCCAGGGTTACTAGCTGGATGGATTCTCTTGGAGATCACTCAGGCTCCAAAAAATTCTACCTGGGATTCTTGGAACTTAAGCCTACAAGCAAGTGATGTTTAAGTTTTCCCCTTTTAAAAAGAAACTTCTGCTATAAATAGATCCGTGGTCGTGTTTCCTCACCACTAGCAGCAATCAGCACACATTTTCTGTCATTAATCTAAAGGATGGTAGTGTAATCGAGAGAAACATGTTAAACATTTTCTTTAGTATTATTATCATCTTGAAGTTCGGAAGTTTTGGTTTACAAGATAGTGACCAAAAAGTGCATGCATATGCCAAACCTCTCCCCTGTGTGCAGTCCTTCATTATATATTGTGCCTAGAAACCTTGCCCCTGTTCAGGTCTTCTCAACCTCCTACTGTAGTTCTAAAGGTGATTTAAATAAATAAGGTTGTGTCCATCATTCTAGCCTTTGTGCTTACTAAATGATTTGTGAAGAATTTTCCCCAAGTTGTAACCCATGTAATCAGTTATAGTTGCTGCAAAATGTCTCTTATATTGATGTTGTTTGTTTACTTGACTCTCCATATGTCTGTTTGTATTGCTAATTTATGGGAGAATATAATGATTGCAATGAATGTGAATTATACAGTCAGGCAAATCTTTTATAATCATAACTAACATAAACATGAGTCTGAGTCAACCTTTAGATTATTGGTACCCTGTCTTTCCACACTGTGACTGAAAAAACTCTCCCCTTAACAGCAGTTAAACTATGAACTAACCTGAAAGGAAAAAGTTGTGTGTTTTTGACAGTGATTGTTAAATAAAGACAAAATTAAAAGCTGAGGCATAGTCTTCTTGAAAACATGTACATGTAAATTAAATAAAATAAGTTTTTCCCTCCAAAAGATTTGTGTACTTGTGCTTCTTTATTCTGTGTTATTTGGAAATAAATGATTTGGTGTTTTCCTTTCTTCTTGGAATTCCAGTGTCCAGTTATTGCTTCATCATCTCAGGAGAGTTTGGGGGCTCTCTTATAGCCTGTAGATTTTCTCTATCTTTCTACGTGGTTAAGCAGGACTATCTTTGGGCCTAGCCACTTGAGATAGCAAAATAGGGGACCTGACAAAACAATGATTGAAGAGAGACCTCTCTGCCCACAACCTCACCCCAGTGACACTGATGGCAGCAACTGATTTACATTTCAGAAGAGAAAAGATAAATGGATGCTCAGTGATCTGTTTGGTAAGGATGCCTTCCTGTAGCTGTTAGCACGCTCATGAACGCTCATGAACTACCTCTGATTCTTAGCAAAAGGCCCAGAAACTAATCAGAAGGGAACAAACTTAAAAAAGACAGTGAATTGGATCTTTCTAAAATTCCCGGTGGGCAGAGGTCCCCTGAAGTATCTGTGAAGACTCTCAATCTTAAGGCTAAAAGGTGAATGTTAGCATGCTCCACATGTCTTTATCTGGTTTGCAACTGGTAAACTTTTCCCAAATGTATCAGAATCATCTTAATCACAAGATCAATCCCTTGCTTCCACTGTGGTCTCTGCTTATAGAATATAGTATTCTTTCTGGACCCCAAACTCTGCACAAATGTTACATCTTGGAGATGTATGTCTGGCTTCTTTCTAATGGCTGAGAAGTTGGGTGGGGGTAATCCTGGCTGGAATGAACAATTATGGGGAGTGGGAGTGGGAGAATGACAGATACTGGGTTGAGAATGGTAAGTCTCCTTAGATAATATCTTGGACAACTAGCTCATAGCTCAAGAACTGTATCCCTAGACGGGAAGGTTCCAGAATCAAAAGAAAGAGGACAGACACATGTGAAAGACAGTCACAAGGCTCTCCCAGGCCTGGACTCTGCTGCATGTTGGTAGCCTGGAGTCCTCCCAGTCTCTAGGATTGCCTAGTCAGGACTAGAGAGGAGATCCTAAAGTCCATCTAATCCACACCTCCCTAACCCACACAGGCTAGTGGCGAACTGGTAAGGCACTGCCTGTTCTGGGCGACAACCACTTCACAGAGGGAAGAAGAAGAGAGTGTTTGGAGGGTGGCTGCCTTTGACATCCTCCAGCAGGATTTTGGAACAGAAAGGTTCTGCCTTTGAAACCTGCTAGTCCCAGCAAAAGAAGGGAGGGTAGGGGCCATGTAAAGAGGAACTCTGCTCCAGGCCATTGGGGAAATTATCATTCCCTTCTTGCTTTGTTAAAGTCTATCTGTTTGACTGTCTGTCTGTCTGTCTGTCTGTCTGTCTGTCTATCTATCTATCTATCTATCTATCTATCTATCATCTATCTACCTACCTACCTATCATTTCTTTCTTATTTTTCATGAAGAATAGAATGGTACAACCTCTGTCCAAGGCTCATACCCTTTGGTCTCCAAGCCTCTCCCTAGAATCACTTTATCTAATAGGGTAGTTATCTACTCTCTAGTGACAAATGGCTAAGGCATCTTAGGGACACAGTCTGCTTATGATGCCCATCTCACTACCAACTCAGGTTTCCCTCTTATTATTCTACAGGAGAGCACCAAATCCCAAATTCTGCTGGCAGCATAGTGACAATAGAGGGAAGAACAGTCTATCACTTACTAGCCCTGTATCCTTATGGATGATACAAATTCACTCTTACTTGATTCTTGTATCTTCAAAAAAAGTCAAACCAACATTTTCAGTAGGCTTTAAAAAAAAAAAAAAAACTGTATCACAGTTAAGAAGCTTGAGTATTTTTTTTAAAAGGTAGTCCCCTGAAACATTTAGGGATACATGCAAGATATTCTATAATTGTTGCTTTTTCACTCAATTTTCCAGAAGTGTCTAATAGTTCCTTAGGGAATTAGATAGCCATTTGGGGGCTTTTCTACTTGTGGAAACCTTAAAGAACCGAAGTCTCATGGAACCGTGTGGCATACTTAGGCATCCCTAAGGATTGCTTAGAATTCAGGGGCTACTATAATTTTACTTTTCTGAGAATTTTTGATCCTGATATAGCCCAGCACTGAAGCAGAAACACAGTCTTTTAAAGTCCTCTGAAAAAAATGAGTGAGAATTTCTTTTAATATAAAATAAAACTGAAGAATCTGATAGTGTTAATGTCACGCTATGACTTGTTAAGACTTTGGCATTGTACTGAACTCCATGGCCCTGTGAGTCCAGGTGTTGAGCTTTTAAATTGTAAGTCTCTGCAGGCTAATGTGCATCCCATGTGGGCTCCTCAAGACTTTGTGAAGGGCAGAGACAATGCAATTGGGAAGTGAGGGCCAGCTGAGGACAGGTGAGTTGGAGACAAAAGTTAGATACAAATATATTCTTTCCGGCAAGGTGTGAGCACCTTTTATTCAGTCATGGCTTCATTTTACTAAATCTTCATTGCAGGAAAAATGAGTAACATCTCAGTCACCAAGTAGTAAGATGTTCTTTCGAAACCACTATTCTCTATTTGTCATTGGCTTCTTATCTTGTCATCCAGATAGCCTGGCCTTTTCACCCAAATATTGCCAGTGCAATGAATGAAAGAGAATGTTCTCAGAAAGCTACTGAGTTCCAGCCCCCAAATCACTCAAGAAAAGAGAAATTCACCAGACAATTTGAGGAAGGGGTACCTAAGGTTTTACCCATCTAGTGGTTTTCCAAATGTCCAAAGAAGCTCTCTGAAAAAGAAAACAGAAAATACCTTAAGGTGCAAGTTAATTTAATGTAAACATATCCAGCAGTAGATTTTGAAACGTGCCACACTTATTTTTTGTCATTTACAAGAACCAAAATATTAGTGACAATATAGATCAAATTAAAAATAAAATGAGCATGGATACACATGGCTCTGATCTTACAATGGATTGACAGCCTTGGGAAATGTCTGTGGGAAGAAAACAGCATACTTTCCTAACTGCATGGATTTGCTATATGGTTGTAAAATAATGGCAGAGCAGAAAGAAAGTTAATTCATCACAACATCACCAGAAGGTGTCTGTAGTAACATTTCAGAAGGGTAGGTGGGTTTTTGCAATGTAACTGGCTGGCCAGTGAACTCCCCAGTTAGTCAGTGTAAGGTCTCTTGTTTGTCCTTCCTAAGGATTTAATCAGGGTCTAATAATCCTCCAGCTTTTG